TTATGTGAACAGGGAAATATATATTTAATGCGACGCATTTAATACAATTCATTTCTTGTCGACTCACGTGTGCTTTGTCTCTTATATTACACCCCGTCTATTACCAAACCGCTGATCGACCCAGATCGATAATCTTTTCTGGCGATTACAAAATTCACTTGACCGCGTAGATCAGCGTTGGCTTTCTGTACATTCGTTTGCTCCAGCGCATAGTCTGTAACTCCCTTCCGGAAAGAGGATAATCGAAATCGAATATTGCAATGAATTTGCCAGAAGGAGTGATATTCGTTATTAAATAACCGGTTAAGCCTCAAACGCATTCATTTCACAAACGTCTGAATTTAATGACGCCATGAAGTGCAACAGCCAACGACTGTCTGCTGATTATGTTACTGCTAGTTACTTTGTTCTGCCAGTCAAACCAGACTTTCCACAACAGTCACAAGAACAGGTCAATATTCATTGCAATTGGGCACTTCGTAGGATGATGTACTGTAAGTGGATTATCGCCAGCCGCTATGGTTGCTATAAGGGCTTTCTTTGAACCCTGAAACGGATTATACACAGGGTTGTGCCCAAGCTGCTTCAGATCAATCACTCCCTCAATGGCACACTGTTAAGAACATTTCTGCAACAACATTGGGAGCATATATTTGCGCATTTTCAGACGCGGTAAAATTCATACTTTTCTGGTGCCAAATGTCAATTTTGTTTGAAATAATACAATGAAAACAAAATTTAAATTTTGATACAAATAAAGCGTAGGCATAGCGTTGGGAACGTTTTCATTTCTACACGTTCAGGTTACAACGGAAAGGAAAAACTCTGCCGGCGAATATTTCTGGTAAACAAAACACTATTAACATATATACTTTTAGCTGGCCCATAGCCAATTATTTCGAGCTCATCTCCGGCTGTCAAACGGTCTGATGTTTTCGGCATGCAGAATGGGATGACTTCTGCAGGCAGTTTCTCCACGTCAAGTTTTACAACGGCAATGTCACTTCCTTTGTACACATTGAATGGGTGACGTTTCTTCATGATAATCGAATGGATGCCCGAGATGAAGTGATTTTCGTCCGGATCCGTGATGTCCCACAC